GATAACATGTCACAAACTCAATGGCCACAATTACCTTCAGTGGTCCCAATCGGTGATGATGTTCATGTATGGTCGTGGACGGGAAGACTATATCATCGGTAAAGTGGAATCACCCAAACTCGATGATTCAACATTTCGCAAATGGAGGGCTGAAAATAATCAAGTCATGAGCTGGTTAATAAATTCCATGACCACTGAAATTGGTGAGAATTTTCTCCTATTTTCTACTGCCAAAGAAATTTGGGATGCTGCTGAGGATACATTTTCTAATAAAGAAAACACTGCTGAGCTATTCCAGATAGAGACTACTCTCCAAGACATTAAACAAGGTGATTCAACGGTTACAGCGTACTACTCCAATTTATCTCGTTACTAGCAACAACTAGATTTATTTGAAACTTATGAATGGAAATGTTCTGATGATCGTATCCTCTTTCGAAAATTTGTGGAGACAAAAAGGATCTTCAAATTTTTGATGGGTCTGAATAAATCACTTGATGAAGTTCGTGGTCGCATTCTTGGTACTAAGCCATTACCGAGTCTTCGAGAAGTCTTCTTCGAAGTCCGTAGGGAGGAAAGTCGAAAGCAAGTCATGTTGGGACAAACCGAACATCCTCCTACTCAAAATGGATCTGCGCTAATTTCCCAACGAGATCATCCTAATGATCCAATCGCTCTTGCTGCTCGGGGGAATCTATATGACGATAACCGCCCGCGCAAAGGGCGACCATGGTGTGATCTTTGTCATAAAGTGGGACATCTCAAAGAAACCTGTTGGAAATTACATGGAAAACCAGCGAACTGGAAGCCGAACACTACCAAATCAGAGCGAGAAACTCGAGGCAATGCTGTTGTCTCTGAAACTTCTAACCAACAACCACATACCAAAGAGTTGTTGGACATGCTACAACAACTATTGAACAGAACAACTCCACCAACAACAGTAAGTGGTTCTGGGAATGTACAACAAGGTAACCAAAATTCTCRTGCTCTCCACACTCAAACTCTTCCATCTGAATGGATAGTGGATTCAGGAGCATCGGATCATATGACAGGTGATAGATCCTTATTCTCATCATTTTCAATTTATACGGGTAACCTGTCTGTTCGAATTTCTAATGGTACACCTGTTCAAGTCACTGGAATTGGGAGTATTCAGATATGAAGCTCCATAACTCTTGCATCAGTATTGTTTGTGCCCACATTAGAGTATAATCTATTGTCTGTGAGTAAGTTGAATCAAGACTTGAACTGCGAAACTAAATTCCTTGCAAATTCTTGTATTTTTCAGGACTTGGGATCGGGGAAGATGATTGGCAATGCTGAATTATGTGCGGGATTGTATCTTCTTAAAGCAACGAGTCCTCCACCAACAAAGAAATGCAATGAACTTGTAGTTTAGTCTAATCGTGAGTCTGCTTATGTTTAGGGTTTCTGAGTCCTTAAATCATAAAGATAATCTTGTCATGATGTTGCACTATCGTTTTGGTCATCCCAACTTTGTTTATCTTGAACGATTGTTTCCTTCATTTCTCAATAAAAAGAGTCAATTTTTCAAGTGTGAGATTTGTCAACTCTCCAAACATACTCGTGCTTGTTATTCACCTCACATTTATCTTCCATCTAAGCCTTTCTCCCTTATCCATGGAGATATTTGGGGACCTTCAAGGGTAAAAAATATCAATGGGGCACGTTGGTTTCTTCTCTTTGTTGATGATCACACACGTTTGAGTTGGACATTCCTTATGAAAGAAAAATCTGAAACAAGCCACTTATTCACCGTTTTCCATAAAATGATCCAAACTCAGTTTCAAGTCAATATAAAAATACTTAAAACTTCTTCTGGGGGGACATTGAAAAAGGTTCTGTGAATCATCTTGTAAGATGGAATATTGCATCTTTAAATCAAGAAGATGGCGGATTGGGTATTGGCAACCTTACTTCAAGGAATAATGCTTTGTTGGCTAAATGGGGTTGAAGATTCAATGTGGAGCCCTCTGCCTTATGGAGACAAGTAGTGGCCAGTATATATGGAACCGACAATTTTGGTTGGTTCGCTTTTGGAACAAGACTGGAAGCAATCGTAGCCCTTGGTTTACAATTCAAAAACAGTGGCGCCTAGTGGAGAAACATTGTATCTTCAAAGTTAGAAATGGTGAGCGTATTCTTTTTTGGCACCATCGATGGTTAGGGGACTCAATACTAAAATAACGGTTTCCTGTTTTATTTCGAGTTTCTTCTGCCCCTTTTATCTCCGTCCGTGAGGCTTGGGATTCATGCTCTTCTTCTTGGAGAATTGAAACAAGAAGAAATCTTAAAGATGAAGAATTTGATGATTATTTAGTACTCTTATCAAGTTTAAATTCAATTATCTTGCAAGAGGAGGAAGATCAGTTGACGTGGAATTTGGAACCTTCAGGGTCCTTTTCGGTTGCTTCTTTATGCAAGCCTAGAAAGGCTTCTTCCTTGATGACCAATGATCAATGCTATAGGCTATGGCGGACGGGTTGCCCAAAAAGGGTTAATATCCTTTCTTGGATTCTTATTAATGGAAAAGTCAACACAGCAAAAGTTCTTCAAAAAAAATTATCACATATGCATTTGCAACCATCCATTTGTGTGCTGTGTGTCACGGTCGTACATTTTTCAACCGTGCGGCGCCATGATCTAAGCTAGACCATGGCCAGCCTTACGAGGAACTCTAGCTCCAATCCACTTTTCACGCCCTTTCGTGGCTTCGTCGGACCTTAGGCGAGGTTCTTTCTTCCTCGACCGAGTTTCACTTACAGCGGAATTCTCCCTTGACTCGGCAATGCACGTCGCCCGTACGTGCATTTAAACTCTAACGCGACTCTAGCCGGCTTGCCTCTACACTAGGCCAAGTCCCACGGCTCTACCTTGCCTCTACTCTAGGCCAAGGTCTTCTGAACGCGACGTCGCAACTTGTTTTCAACCATCTTGGTTCTCGGTCACTCGATCGTCCTGCTCCTACGATGAGCCA